TATAAACACCCCGAAAACTAGCCAACCCTATGGAACTGCAGACAAGTCAAACTACTTTGTAGTGTTCAGCTTTTTATAGGAAGGTCTGATCATCAGTCAGATGTTTAGCTTTAGAAGCACTTCTGAAGATTGGCAGGAAATGTATAGGCTTTTCTTTCCTTTGCTTTTTGGTTTTCTCAGTGTCATTTTTTAAAATGTGTGGTCAGGCACTGCAGGAAGTCTTGGGAAATGAATCCTCTCCTCAGAGAATTCAACAGTTGATCTCAGCTGGGATTTCCAAGAGAGATAGCAATCGCAGTGAGGATATTTATTCCCTGTGAACTGGATAGAGTGATTGACTTCAAAGGCAAAAAACTCCAGGGAGCAGAMTGCAGAGTGGTTGCTCTGGTGGGAGTTGGGTAGCTCTTGAGCCAAAACCATGAAGGTGAAAGGTGTTACCTGTTAGTGACACCCTGAGGGGCAAAATCCTGTTTAGCTTTTGGTCTTTCCTTTCAYTCCGCATTTGTACAGTCCAGATCCGTTTTCAGTCTGTGGAGTTTTTTTCTGGTACGCTGAGATTCTGCCTCTGGCTGTCCCTGGCTCTGTCTCTGGGAGGTGGTCAGGCCAGGGAGCTGCGGGTCATCTCCAGCAGACAAGAATAGTTTGCTTCCAGGAAGATTTGCACCTTCCCAGGTGAATCGGCATCTGCTGTGCCTGCTAATCTGCCAGGGCGACAGCAGCAACCCAGATCTCAGCCTCAAGAATTCTCCCATGAAATCTGCTTTGAAACCTGGTTTCCTAATGTGCAACTCTTGTCTGAGAATAGTGCACATACACTAGCACATACACTAGTTGCCAACTCTTGTCTGAGAATAATGCACTTACACTAGCTTTTCTTGCATGTGATTTTTTTTTTTCTTTTCTGCTGGTGTTGCATATTGAAAACAGATTTTCATTGTTTCTCTTTGGATGTTTTTTGATCATTACAAATATGACTTGAACATCATCTGGTTCAACTGAATAAAGATAAAATTAARTACTTAAATTATCTAAACCTCCAGTAAAGATAAGTAAAGGGAAAAGCAAGACCACCTTTGGTGTGTGTACAGCACCTAATACCTTTGAACTCTGGGCAGTGCTGAAATTCAGAGAGTGGTAATGATTAGGTGGAAGATTTTAATGTGAGATATACTGGACCTTTGTTTGGACATGCCAGACCTGTAGAGTTAATATTTTGCCACCTACTTTTCTGAGGAGGGAAGSAAGAAAACTGATATAAACCATTCTACTTCAGAATATATATAATTTTTTTAGATATCCTCTTGCAGGGCTTTGCATATTGTGAATTATTAGTGAGCTAATAGGAAAATGAGCTTACAAAAGCAAACTTTCARGTATTGCATATCTTGCTGATACTTCTGTGTATTTTGGTTAAGGTTGTACGTCTTGCCTACTAARACTCACACTCCTCAAGAGAAATCACTGAGTCCTCTGCAGTGGTGCAGGCGTGTTCTGGATCATCCCACTCCTGAGATAGAAGCTGCAAAACGTTCCCTATGCTTTAGATTGGAGCAAGGTAATCTTATTATTTTAATTTCTTTATTAGGAGGTTGGCATTTTTGGTCTGCTGTTTCACTTGTCTCTGGTGTTTTCACAATTTATCAGGCACTACGCATTGCACATAGGCGATTTCTTTCTGTGTATGCAAGTCTTCCTTCACTACATAAATACTAACTTATGTTTGGTGTTTTTCTTTTCTGATCATGCAGTTTTAAGGTGTTTGCCTCCTTTGTTACCATTCTTTGTCCTGTACAACTTGTCGTTCTAACATGGCAATTTTCATCCATGGCTTAAAATAGAGAACTTCCTCGCAAGTATATATTGGTGCTTACTTTACTATTGTCATATCTGTTTGAAAAAGGTTTGAAAAAAGGTGCTGCTTGTTTGCTGTAAAGTCAAGATTACTATGGGGTTATAAATCTTTAAAGGCATATTTGTCAACATGTAATGTAGAGTCAGAACTTTACTAAGTGTAGGACACACCAAGAAGAGCTCTAATTTGACTGTAACACTGTTTTGTTTGCCTCTGGGTTATCTCAGGTACTGGAATCAGTCTGMTGGCTTTCAGTGCCTGTGAACTTGTGGAGTTATAGCTGTGTGTGCTGACTTCTGTTTTAAATAAATACCAGATAGCATTTTTCTTACTTTCTTACCATCTGGGGTCTCATTAAGACTGTATTAAGTGTTGTTGAAGAAAGCAATTAAGGGAGGTTAYTAAGGTTTATAACTCACTAGGAAAGAAGAAAATGAACGTTACAGGAAGATGACAGAAAAAGGAATAAAGCTAATGACAGCATGAACATATGGCTGTATAAGTTAGCTACAGCTGTCATTAAGAGAGACTGAGCATGTATATGCTTTGGAGAATAGGGGTAGCTGAAGATAAGTCTTATCCAAAATAAAGCATTTTAACTGAATCAGGGTCTGAAGGCATCTGCCTCTTTTCATTGGCTRTAAAAGATGCTACAATGATTATTGYTCYGGAAATATTTARTTGGGCWTATTCGCCTCAAGTTACRTGGGCCAAACTGTGGTTTGTRTATTGATGGTCACCCCACCTAGTTTTTGGGAGGAATTTGCCTTGTTAATTTGGTATCTGAGTCCAGGTGTCTGTAGGGTGAGCTGAGTGTCCATGCTTAAACATAAATGGATGTTTTGTCTGTAAAGTGAGAGGAATCTGGAGCTGCTCAGATGACAAGACTTAGGTGTTGACTGTGGAATGAATTTAGTAACTATCTCGATGACAGTAGTGAGTGCTTGGCACTCAACCCCATCTGCTCTCCTGAAGGTAAATCTGTGTGGTGTTGGACATCCAGCAATGGAGCTCAGTCTGATGTAGTAGCTCTGGTTAGGTTGCCCCACATAGGTGTCTAATGTAATTTGAGATGCCCTGTTACCTTTGTTTCTGTTCAGGGCTCATGCAGACCTTTTTCCAAAGGTCTTTTGCTGCTTCTACCCTCCTTTAATGATACCTTGGCCTCCCTAAGGGCCTCTCAGGTGGGCAGGCACATCTGAGWATGGATAGTTGAGTCAGGCCTGTAATGTGGGTGTAGAAACAGGCAAGAGGAATGGAGGACCTATTTTTCTCTTGCAAGGATTTATTTAAATTGAATAGACAATAAAGGTTTCAAATTTAAATCATTCTATGCGTGTCAGTTCAGTCTCTCTCTCCAGAAGTCACAKCAAGTGACATATGTCACCAGATTATGTTGACAATGAGTTACACTGATCCATATGTTCTGCTCATGGCGATTGGCTCGTGAATTTCCTGAGCTCTGTAAAAAGTTTCTGAGAAATGATATGCCATAAATAAAACCTCTAACYGGAGCAGTATGGTTAGGTACAGAATAGACTTGTGTTTACATTGCAGTAATTCTATGGTAAAATTGCTTTAATTAATAATTCAGTTAGACTTAATAAAGTCGGATATTTCTAAATATTTTCTTTTAGCACCTGTACCTTTACAAGTAATACATAATAAGCAAATGTCATCCTTCTTACTCTTAACTTTTTAGAAGTTGGTTTCACAATGTTTGTTTATTCCTTAATTTTGCAGCCAGATGTAAGACTTTTATAAGAATCTATTAATTTGGTTTTCGTAGTACAACAAACTTGCTGTAACCTCATTTTCCTGYGTTTTGTGTTGCAGTATGCTCAGTAACATACCTGTATAAATACATACACATAATTAATCCAGATTTTAAAAGTGATTCAGTAAGAATGGCATTCTTCTTTCAGATACTAAAGACTTTGTACTTGTGAACTGAAGGGTGTTTTCCTCTTTTAGCCATATGCCTTGCAAGGGCATTTTCTAGGTGTTTTGAAATCTTCTGCTTGGCTCTAAGTCAGTGGTTAACACTGAGGTTCTGGAGAACTATTAAATGTATAGTCAGAAAACCTTTATAATGTACCAAAATGCTATTTCTGAAATGGCTTATTGATAGAATTTGCTTAGTGATTTTGTCCATGGTGCATTAGCCAAAAATTAAACCAGTTTAGTTGTCAGCTTTTAGGCAATAAAGTGTACATGGAAATAAAAAGCAGTAAAAATTGATTTTTGACTGTAAAGTCAGCATATGAGTAAGTTCATGCAGAGAAGAGCTGTGAGCCAAAAGAAGTRAAAATTTTGTTAACCTATTTTTGAGTTTTAACTCATTCCCGTTCTCTTACTAAGATTTTTTTTATCCTGCCCTCATTTATTCCTGCTCATGTAAATTTCTCTTATTACATTATATCCTGAGTTTCATCAAAGCTTTCATTTGTTTTTTGGAATGTGTCAACATTAGGATATGTCATAACAAGGCCAAAAGTCTTGTGAGAGACTTCTGCCAAAGCAGTCCAAGGTAGTGAAATAATCCAAAGACTGCTTGCTCTTTCAGGCTGGAAAATCACTTGAATGTTGAGGTATTTTCTTTTCGCCTTGCTGTGCTCACCAGCCTGTTTCTTTTCTAGTGAAAATGTCTGTTTTAAGTATTTCATGGTGGAAGTTAAGAATTCACCTTGGCATAAATTCTTAAAGTTTCTTATAAGCGCAGAGGTGGTCTCCAGCAGGTGGTTCTTCTGTGAGCCACTGTGAGAACTTGGACAAGCTTCTCAACATTCCTCTGGTCTACCACTAGGTAGCTAAAACTTTTATAATATTTATAATGAACTGCGCTTATTACAAACCTTGTTTCTGTGGATTAAGCATGCTAGCTTTAAGGAGAATAAAATTTAAATGTAACCTCCTATGATAAGATCTTTGCTTGGAATCGTTCCTGTTTTCCATGAGCAGTTATAGCGTTGAGGCAATACTTGTTTGTTTTATCTCTGTGGGCTGGATCACATCTTTCTTTTCACTCTTCTYCAGTTTATCTTTCAATTGAAACCTTTCTGGTTATGCTTAAGGCAGTTCTCTRTCTATTGTAGGGTCAATTACCTTGCTGTTTGGATTTTAATCTTGCTGTCTATGTTATATTTTTAGGTTAATTGAAGTGAACAGGGCCACCTAATAGTCCTAATGGTGTGGCAGACACTCTTCTGTATTTTCTTGGCAGTAATTGAAGATGTTGGGCTATGTATTAGTTTCCGTGAGCAGAGACAAGTGACGTGTAAATTTCCTAGCTGATGCAGATGGGTATAACCCCTCTGAAGCTGAGGGGATGGAGGTGATTGACGCCTTTGCTGAGGATACCCTGCATAACTTCACCTCTGCAAAAAGCTCTGAAGCAGGCGGTTGGATAAACTGAGGACTTAAGAGGCTTAGCAAGGAGTCAGTCTGTAGGAGCTCAGCTTTTATGCAGGRCTTCAAAGTGTATCTCATCCATTTCAGCCATCCAGACAGGAAGCTTGTCTTTCTTGGAGAGTATGAAATATTGACTGGATTCAGAGTTTGGCTTAGATGAGTTCTTATTCAGAAATACCATTTCAGATGTTTAAAAGGAGCAGGAATTCTGTAGGTTTTGMAGTTGTCTGCAGTAGTTTATAGTCTGAAGAATAAAACTATTTTGTTTCTTAAATTATTRTTGTGCTTTGGGATGGGTGCTCTTATGTTATCTGTGGATTATAACAGATCCATTGCAGTTTCTCTTCATTGCTTATGATTCCACAAAACTAAAATTCTCAATAGTGGAATTTTATTTGCGATTGTTCTGGATACTAATTGTAAATGTCACTTAAGGTTGATGTCCAAACAATGTAAMATACTGAAAAGAAAAACTGGGAGGAGACAAAACCAAATTATTTATTTTGATTGTACTGTGTGCCTTTTACCTGTTAAAGAAACCCAAAATCTGGTAGGTTACAGCTGGTAGGGMCCCAGGCAGAAGGTTTTACCTGGGTTTGTAACTCATGGCTTATGCAGAGAGAAGCAGTGTTCTGTCCCCTTATCGTAATTCCCTTCCATTTTCTGTGGGTTCATAGTGAAATAATTCAGTTTGGAGTCTTTAAGATACAGAATATGCTTCATCAACTGTTAAAAACTGCTGTCATAGGGAACTTTCAAGCTGTGGTCTGTTAACATTAGAAGCAAACAGAAAATACTSTAAGTAGACAAGTTTTTTATCTTGTATGCTTGAGCTGGATCCAGTACTGAAGCAAGGTGGATTTTTCTTCTTTTTTTTCTTTYTAAAATAGATTCATTTGTTTTAATTTTATTTGCTGTCCATTGGTGGATCAGAGATGTGTGTTGTGATACTCAGAACTGGATTAATAAAATTTCATATGGCTTTCTTGCTCATATATAATGCAGGTTAGTTCTGTGTAAAATGCTTTTGAGGCAGGAAATAGTAATGTGCAGAAGCCTGCAGATGTTGTTTCCATCATAAATAAAATGCCTAGAGCTCTAGAAGGAATGAAAAAAGTGGCATGAGCGGTTTGGTTTCTTTTTGTGTATGTTTCTGATTTAAAAAAACCATGAGCAGCCATAGCTCTTATCAGCATCTTAGCACCTTTTGAGGAATGTGATGTCTCAGAGGTCAGGCTGCACAGCCATCCTCTAATGCATTGCAAGCTAAGTTCTTGGAGTGTATCTATACA